CCATTCTCATTTTCAATGCAAAGTGAGCGCACTAAAATTTTCATAACATTACAATAACATTGTTACTGATACTAACAATTGAAGGTTTAATATATGCAGTCCTAGGAAGAGTATTTATGTGTGAATATGTGTGTATTGAGCTGAATTTGTATATGCTTTGCTCTGCCGAGCTAAACTCTGAAATGTGAAGATTGACACCACTGTCATATTTGTCTATTAACTATGAAGTTAGAGCCAGCATCAGGTTTTCTTAGCATATCTTAACATAAAGTACCAGGTTGTTTTAATTTATCTTAGCTTAGCTTAGCTTAGCATAAAGACTGGAAACATGGGGAAGCAGCTAGCCTGAATTTGTAAAGAAAACTCAGTCAGCCTACCAGAACCTCTAAAGCTAATTAACTGTTTGTTTAATATGTACATAAATCAAAGTGTAAAAAGACAATTTGTCATTTTACAAGGAGTTATGTGTTGGACCATTTCCTGGGACTTCCTGATTGCTTTGCAGGCTGGATTTTTTACATTTGGACAGAGCCAGGCTGGCTGTTCTAACCTGTAGGTAGTCTTTAGCTGGCTGCCCGCTGTAGTTTCACATTTACTATGCATCTGGAGAGTGGCGTCAGTATTCTAATCTGACTCTTGGTATGAAAGCATATAAGTTTATTTGCCTAAATGTCAAACTATTCCTATAATAGCTAGCAAATAAATGGAGGCTCAGCACTTCTGCAGACAGTACATAAACTGCTTATGGGAGAGATCTTTCTCAGGAACTAAAACAAGCAAGCTATAAAGACTAACCAAGAGAACAAATACTACATAAAAAAATCACAGCCTGAAAGCCTAAATTATTTTTAATAATGGATTATTGCAGCTCTATAAGGCATCAATAAGTAGCTTATTACAACAAACCCATCAGTTACATTATAAACACGATTAAAGGGATCTCGTTAGAAAGTCGCACTACTTTTTAATGTTTTTTTTGTAACTGAGACTTTGGCACCCTTGAAAAGAAATTTCTCCCATTAAGGACTAAGTTGTAATTTAACATTGAGAGTTTTAAACCACAAAAAAAATAAGAAATAAAAATGACACACTGTGTCAGTGTTTGCTGTATGATGCGACTTGGGTCGGATCTCGAAAATTAATCATAAGACTCTCAACACTGTAATTAGCCTAAAAGTTGTGCTCATAGCAATTATTACAGTGTTGATACGTTTAGACTTATTTGAAATTACAGTTATTTTAAGATAATAGGTGGTGACTTTACTCACAAGATAAATTAACACCTCTTAAAATATGGCTCAATGTTCATATCTGCTAAAGGTGTTTAATTAACTCTTAAGAACTCTGGTAGTGTAGTCAAGGGGTCTTACGCTACTCCACAGGAAAATGTCCAAATTTAAAAGACTTCAGTACAGCTGACACCACACAAACTGTGTTTGGGAAAGTGACAAGTTTTTATAGGCAAAGCATAGGAACATCTGTTGTTTAGTGGAGAATATGTTTTTGCAGCTGGTGGTTGCTATGATCAAAAATAAGCACAAACTGCACTAAAAAAGTCTAAATATAATGCAAGCAAGTATAAAATTTAACAAGTCAACCTACACTCACTAAAGAATTAAATCAAACAGTCTTCTCAAGACCATGTCAGTCACTACATGCAATTACAGTTACAGATGCTCCACCGGCAGCTGGCTCTGTCTCCACTTTCTCACAGGATAACCCTTCAAAGAATGCACATTGCTCAAACTGCAATAATAAATAACAAGCACTCTACTTTTAGTATTAAGCACTTTTTTCAATTATGTTCTGCACTGGATAAAACAGCAATAAGCAAATGTTTGATATGCTGGGGGACTCTTCCTATTAAATGATAGAGAAAATAGCTTTTGTGTCCTTAATAGGCAGAAGTGACTGGAAGGCTTTTATAATACACATCTCTACAGCATCCACTGACTGCTGCTCTCCAAACATTAATAGCAAGTCTGCAAAACTTAAAAGGTACAAGAGACCAGAGAAAACACAACCTCAGATTTCTCAAATACACTCACAAGTCTGATCTCTCAGGGTCCTAGAGGCACACAGGTTAGCGTTACCTAGGAATTAGTGTCAAACATGAAATAAGATTGACTGTGCAAGTGACTCTCATTATAAGATATGTGTGTTAGATAACAGAGAACATGAATCAGAATCATTTTATATAGTGATAGTCACGCAAACAGAGATGAAAGTCCTGCCAGTGTTCTTGAGTGGAAATAGTGATACTACAACTACAAATTTATAACATTATGACATTTGAATAGTTGTTTTTACCAAAGTCTTGTGCAGAGAAATGCTGTCTGTGGCCACCTAATCCAGCCCAAACCAGGCCATAAGAGACATCTCTCCATGTTTGGGTTGAGGCAGCCAAAGAATTGTTTATTCAGCCTAATCTCCACTGTGTGATGTGTGACTTCTTCCCCTACTGTCATACTCATGTAATCTGCTGTTTGTGCTGCTTTAAGTCCAGGGAAAAGCAACGGCTTGAAGCCAGGGACTACATGACACAAACTGTCATCTCTGTCCCATCGATGGGTTCTGCCAGTATCCGCCTAATCCCTAGAGTAATCCCACCACCACAACAGAGAATTTAGACACACCAAGGCAGGCAGGACAGAGCTCTCCAGCCCTCTGCGCAGCCATTATCTACACACAGGCACATGCACACAGCAGCAGCACTGCAACAACAACCACTTTAAATGACAATTGGCGCTCACACTTGAGCTGATGTTTACGTTTCTTGACAAATAATAAAATTGAACAAAACACCTGAGGATAGTTTGCATTTTAAGTGAAACTGAGCCACT